TCCCAAACCCTGTGAATCGACCCCAACCTTCTTGTGCATAATCTTAATCACAGTGCTCTCCCTCAATTGATTAAAATATCTCAACAACTTGGAAAGTCCTAAAGATGTAAGCGATAATCAAACACCCAATACAACAGACTACCTCTCATATGCTCTTAAAGATCCTATCTGTGATATACAATGAAATGTTTTGGAAAAGAGCTAGAACAACCAAGGGACAAATATCCTACCCTGCCTCCCTACTGAAAAACATTCTGGACACTCAGTATAAACAAACAATCCAGGCAATCTTTTCAAACAGTGTTGTCATCCATACGTCAATGATAAAGAATCTACAAGTGACATTCTCAAGTATCAGCCTCTCTCTCACATTTTCTCAAATGTCACATTTTAGATAAATAAAGGTATATATACTTATAAAATCAGTTCAAGCAAAAAATCCCAATTCATTAAAAAAATGAGGTTATGAGAAAGTGACATTTTTTAGTCACTGGGAAGCTGAGATCACAGTCGTTGATCTATTTATTTCTCTTATAAGCAACTGTTACTTCTTGACATGTTTTTTACAATTTGAAAAAGATTAGAGAAAAAACCTACAGGCCCCATGGCTAGCTCAGAAGTTACTAATATATTGATTTTAGCAACACTGTATCAATTATTTAAAAGGTAGTTTTAACCGTACACTTGACAAAAGATATATTTTCAGAATTTCCTTCCAAAATTAAAATTACGTTAACCTCTTGCCAAGGAATTGATTATTAATCTCTTCCTCCTTCTCCCAGCTCATTTACCCTCAGCTATAGATATCTCATTAAAAGAGAAAAAAGACATCGCCCTGGGTCCCACATCCTCCTGTAGATTACTATGTCCTCTCCCTCCATCAGGAAACCTTTCTCCTCTAGGCATTGTAACCTGGCTTCCACCCCATTACTCAACTGACACTGGGTCCCCAAAGTCATCAAAGACTGAACTACAAACCCTAAAGGCCCTCTGCCAAGCTCACCTTTACTCACCATTGTGCAACATCTGACTTGGGATTCTTTCCTTCCAGACACTTGTCTTTCTGTGCCTTCCAAGACGCCAGTTTCCACTAGCTCTTTCTACCTCTCTGAGCTTTGTTGGGGGGTGGAGGTAGAAGCATTGGGTTTTGTTTTTTAACAGCCCTTTTTTGTGTGTCTATGCCTAGTTATCCATGCATATGTTGGGGTTCAGCACTTTGTTCTCTTTCCTTCTCACTCACTGTGCTCTCCCAGGTGATCTCATTCACTTCTTTTCCTACCTAAATGAGGAAGACTCTCAAATCTGTATATTTAGACCTAACTTCTCTTGTGGGCTCTGAATCACTATTTCCAACTTCCCACTGAGTGTCTGTACTGGGATATCCAACAGACACCTCAAATTTAACACTTGGGAAAATAAATAAATTACCTTTTCCATCTGTTATTCTATATTCCTTATCACAAATAATGGTGACACCATCCTTTCAGTCACCCCAAGCTAGGATCCTGTTGTCTTCAATTCCTCTTTATTTCTCATCAATCACCATCCAATACCTCAAGTTCTATCTACCCTACCTTCTAAAGGCCTTCAGAGCCTGCTCTCCTCTCCACACTCCATCACTGCTTTAACTCAAGCCTTCACGTGGCCCACTGCAGGTTTCCCGGCTGGTCTCCAGTCCATTTCCTATACCGCCCCACCAGAACTGTTTTTTTAAAAATCATGTCATCCACTTGCTGACAAAACTCTTCCATAATTACCCATTTCCACTAAATCCAAACTACTGAGTATGCCCTACAAGTCTCTGCACAATCTACCCACTACTTACCTTCCCTTTTCCATCATTTTTCCATAGAGAACCTATTCCCCAGCCAAATGGAACTATCTGTGGATCCCTAGACACACCCCACTTCTTCATATGTTCACGCCTTTGTACATGTCACTTCTTTTGCACAGCATGATCTCCTGCCATCATGCATCCCCTTTTTTCATTTAGAACTCTAAATCTTAATTCCTTAGTGAAGCCTTTCGTAAGCTCCCTAGTTGCAACCATCTCTTTCTCCTCTTATTCCCATTGTGTTTTGCCACCACTGTTGTAACTACTGGTTTTCTCTCCCTGTACTCCTCTCCCTTCTCTAAAGGAATCCTTGAAAATAAGGAGCTTATAGCATCTTTAGCGCATGGTACACTATTAGTACTCAATACATACTCATTTTTTTTAAAAAAAGGTAAATCTAATTCATATATGCCCTAGTGAAAATACTTCTTCATACGGATAAGCCATATTACAAACTCACCCCCACAAAAGAAAGTAAAGTTGGTAAGTTGTAAAAACCAAAGTTGCCAGTGCTTGCAGCTTCGAAAAATAAAAATGCCTACATTTATGGCTTTTATCTGTTCATTATTCCAACAAACATTTATTGAATATAAATAGAGCCCACCCTAGACAAATCTGCCAAGTAGCAGAAGTTTCTCTTTTTCTCCACAGTGACCTGTCTGGGCAAGCTTCCAAGTGGTCTGCTACACGCTTCCCTACGAATGGCACAGGCCTTCAGGTCTTCACGGCCACTTGTCAAAAACACCAAAGTTTTTTGTTTTTTTTCCTTTTAAATCAGTAATTTATACATGATTACACTTAGAATACTAGAATACAGATAGTCCCCAATTCATGATGGTTCAATTTACAATTTTTCACCCTTACAATGGTGTGACAGCGATACACATTCAAAAGAAATTGGAAGATACTCTCTTGTAATGCTGGGTAGTGCTATGGAGCCACAGCTCTAGTTGGTCACGGGATCTCGAGGGTAAACCATCAACACTCTACAGCATACCGTGTTGCCAGATGATTTTGACCTACTGTAGGTAAATATAGTGTTCTGAGCACATTTAAGGTAGGCTAGGCTAAGCTACGATATTTGGGAGGTTAAGTGTCTTAAAAAGGTGCTTTTGACTTATGTATTTTCAACTTAGATGGATTTATAGGGACAAAACTCCATCACAAATTGAGGAGCATCAGTATTTACTAAGTCAGCCCTTTACCTGTTGAGCTTCATGTTCCTAACTTTAGAACAAAAGATTTTTTTTCACTACTTAAAAGAATTATAAGCATCAAAAAAATAGGCAGTTTCTTTTGAGTACAGAATCCCTTCAATCACAACAAGTCACAATATGGACTTGAGTTAATTAAGGATGTTTTGTGAAGTGATTCAAAAGAGACAACCTATGGTCTCTCCATCACATGCCCTGTGCCCCCCTTTGTGCCCCCAGACGTGGACCGTCCACTCCTCTGTGGGGAAGGGTTTGCCTGAAAAAGCTGCTTGTGATTTTTCTTTCAGTTTTTTTGGAGTCAGGGAAGCCTATGTCATTAACTTAATCCAGGACTGGAATATTCCTTCCTCTTCAACCTTGGTCTATGCTTCCCCTTCCTGAGCATAAGCTCTCTTGCCAACTTCCCCAATTTACCTTAATCCAATCTCCACCTTCCAATTCCTTTGAACTAAGAAATACATATTTTATATTTTTCTGTATTTTAATTACTCTTTAATAGTTTCATAGTATAACCTCTCTATCTGACCTCTATTCTACCTTTAATTATGAAATTTTTGACAAATGTAGCGCTGGAACACTTCTTCCCTAATAGTGGTTATATTATTATATAGTTCATATAATCTCTCCTACTATTTTGATATTAAAAAAAACAAAGAAAAATCTCATTCACATACAGTACAGGAGAAAGACCTGAAAAAGCACAAAATAATCTGCTTTTTATTAAGCCCTTCTGCATTTTTTTTTAAACTAGCCTTCTTCCAGATTTAAAAAAAAAAAAAGCATTCTAACTTTACTTTTCTTTGTAAGAGCTCATGATATTTTTATCTTTTGAAGTAGGAAGAAGATGATGTTATTCTCCTATAAAATAGATAGAGCAAATGGAGCCCTCAGAGGATAAAGATGTTTACTTGGGACTGGCCGATTACCATAACTTTTCATGTAATTCTCTTTCATTTAAATGAAATATGACTGGTTCATCTTTCCTGTCTCACCTGAAATAATCTCTGAAATTGAGGATTTGGGATTTTGGTGGTTGGAAACAAGTCTTCAATGGTGTCTTTCTCCTCATCTTTCTTTACCAAGCTCATGGAGTCAATCAAAGCATCAACAGCACTCAATTGTGCCTCTTAAAACAAAGATAAACAGAGAAGCAGAAAGAAAAATTATTACCGCTATTATTCTCTACTAAAACAAATGCTTTCCATTTGTAGATATTTGCAGCAATATTGGCAGGTTATACAGTCCTGGCTCTGCCAAAAATATTCTCTAGTTACTCAAGTACTTAACCTGAGTCTCAGTTTTCTTTTCCATGAAAAGAGCTATTTAGAGTAATTGACTGCTTAGGTCCCAGCCCTACCATTCACTGAACCTTTGATAATGGAGTATCATATCAAAAGCAAGAGTTTGTTCCAAGGAATACAGACATACAAAATCCAACTTCCATATGGAGATTCAAGCATAATATTCAGTATTCAATGAGATAATATTAAAACCTTTGTAATTAGCTAAAGGATAAAAACATTAAAAGGAAAAATAAAACCCCTCTAGTAATGAAGCATAAGCTTTATAAGGATTTACTGTAACTTTTAGCAGAGTCTAGCACCTTAACAGGAAGACACCACTGAACTAGTGAGGTGACTCCTTCCCAGTCTCCACAGGCAGAATCAGCCCTTTCCTCTTGCAAAGTCTCATGACACTAATCACACTGCATATCTGCACAGCTGTGTACGTGTCTTACTCTACTCCATTCAAACTTTAAAAGTTCCTTGAGAGCAGAAATATGACTCTTTTTTATGTGTCTCTTAATACCTAACAGAAAGCAAGTGCTCCTCCATAAAAATCTACCAAGTCAACAAAAACGGCACAGCTCAAAGCATTTTGGATGAGAGGCAACTCTCCCAAAAATGCTTCTACCTAAACTACCATGTGTAACTTTCATTCTGCTGATTCATACAGCAGTTGAGCTGTTGAACTGAGCACTGTTTTGGGATCATTCATAGTCACTAGGCAAAAGGTGGAAAAGAATATGCAGTTCCTGAAAAGTATATTATGCTGCTTTTCTTCACCTTTTCAAATATTCCTTTTGTATAGTCACAACAAAATAAAAGAACACATGGATATTTATCATGAGACATTTCTTTTCTATCTGTTTTTGGACTTTCTAGGGGAGATTTCAGGCAATTGCACAGCCATCACCATCTTAAGCTGGCTAATTCAGCGTTCGACTGGCAAAAGGCAAAAGATAGGACTTGGATATGTGAACATTCAGTGATTTTTACCTACTACTACAAACTAGTAACAGGCCAGATCATTCTGGCATTGCATGTCCCTTCACAAAGGTCCACTTGGGAAATAGGCCAAGTAGCTTTAAGGATTCATTTTTCCAATGGAGAAAATGTAAACAAATATGTTACAGAAAATAGATCAACAGATCAAAAGATATTTAAGGCCGGGCGCGGTGGCTCACGCCTGTAATCCTAGCTCTCTGGGAGGCCGAGGCGGGTGGATTGTTTGAGTTCAGGAGTTCGAAACCAGCCTGAGCAAGAGCGAGACCCCGTCTCTACTAAAAATAGAAAGAAATTAATTGGACAACTAAAAATATATAGAAAAAATTAGCCGGGCATGGTGGCGCATGCCTGTAGTCCCAGCTACTCGAGAGGCTGAGGCAGGAGGATCGCTTGAGCCCAGGAGTTTGAGGTTGCTGTGAGCTAGGCTGACGCCACGGCATTCTAGCCGGGCAACACATTGAGACTCTGTCTCAAAAAAAAAAAAAAAGAAAAGATATTTAATGTTTTAGCTCTTGAATGATTTATGTCTACAAGATAATTTGTCAACAAAGTTCTCTTTTTAAAGCATTCTACTTATCTAAAAGTTTGGAATTATCAAGAGGTAGAGACAGAAAAATACTGTAACACAGTGGCAACTTCTATACATTCAGGTCCATGCCTCCCTCCTCTGTGACGCAGAGGGACTTGTCTCTAGAAGGAAGGTAAAATACAGGCCCTAGGGACACATCTGATTCTTGGCCTTTTCACAGCACACTGCTCCCAAAGGGTCTAACCAAAATAACCACAGGGAGAACCCAGTTCTGAGATTCACCTTGCAATTCTCTCATCCTACAGACACAGATGACACATTTTGTAAAATGAAATATCCACACATCGTTTGTTGTTCTTTTTGGTATGTGAGCTCTCAACAGTGAGCTCTCTGGAACACAGGCCCTGTGGCTGTGAGAATCATTCAGTATAACACCCTGATATTTGCAGCCAGATGCTTAATAAAGGCCTTTCTCATCAAGCTCGAAGTAATTCCTAGAAGCCAGAAATAAGTAACAATGAGACTTGAACTGTTACTGTAGTTACTGTAAACTACAAAGACAGAATAAAAAGAAAAGTTAATCTCTAACATTTTCACTTTTCAGGACAAAGTTACACCAGATTTTATGCAGGACACTGAAGTCACAGGTTTTATATTGCACATTGATTCACTTCAGCAGGGGCAAACCTTCTGTTCACAATTAGAGATGGCCATTCATCACCAACAAGCTGCTCCCTAGACACATGCTCTATATCAGAAGAGGGAACTAGACAGTGTTTGGAGAGTTTAGGGCAAACCTATCCCTACTACTAGAAAAACACCTGCCGAACCCTCTTCATCATTACTGTGTATAAGTATATGATTGGAATCCAACTAATTCCACCCTGTGAAATCCTGGCCCTGACGAATGGCTGCAGACAGGTAATTTCCCAAAAACAGTCTGTATGCAGAGCCAATTAGTAAGCTAAATGGAAATAAACTCACCCGTAGGAGTGTATTTCTTATTATTTTTCAAGGATGAAAACATGTATTGCCGCAAGTCTTCCATGAAAGGCAGCTGCACATACATTAAACACTAACAAGAAAGAAGGGGTAAAAGCAGAAACAACCAAATTAATGAAAAAATATAAAACTGGTCCCAAATGCTGTGAAATTGGCACAACAGATATATTTCAAAAATCAGACAGTTCAAATCTGGTATGTGAAAAGTAAAGTGTTTTGACTTTTGCCATTAGCTGTTCAAAACTGCAAACGGTATGAAGAATGTTAAACATAAAAGAAATGCTTCAAAGAAGGACTACCAAAGGATAACTATAAAACACACATCCAACACAACAAATGAGAAGACTAGGGTGATCGGAAGGCTGATCTGGAAGTCAAGACATTTTGCTTTCTCTTTCCAGTTCTGCCAAAGAGGACAGGGTAAGGAATTTGTACTTTAAATAGGATACCCCTAAATAAACTGAATTTCACAAGGATCACAACAAAATCACATCCTCAACCTATATTCATAGTCCCCATTAGTAAAAATGGAGGTAATTTCTGTTTCCATTTGGTTCTGAGAAGTCAAGAAGGATGAGAAGCGAGAAAAGGTCATGGTTAACCTTACCTGATTCAATTTAATAAAAAGCTCCTTATGATTTATGTTCTTTCCTCACAACTAGAAGTGCGGTTCACAGACCAGCAGCATCGGCACTGCCTGGGGGAAATGCAGAATCTGGGCCCACTCCAGACCCACAGTATCAGAACCGGCATTTTAACAAGATTCCCCAAGTTAATTCTCACACACGTTAACAGTCAAGAAGCACTGCTTACGATAAAGGGACTGAAGGAAAAAAATAACATCAATAAAAAAGATCCATGGGTTTTACCTCATAGGCCTCCTTGATATAAGGAAAAGCCACGCCAACTTGAGGATTCGCTCTTTTGTCGTAAGCATATCGAACGATGGCCACCATGTCTAATTCATCCAAGGCGTGAATCAGGGAGGAAAGTGCAACTGCTGCTGCCTAGTAAGAAAGAGGGATGCGATGCATGAACACATATCCAACACGGGAGAATTTTCATAACAAAACTAAATATGTACAGTGTTACTTTCTTCCCATATCTGATTTTTTTCTAAAGTACCCCTTTACCTACTTCAAGACCAAACTATACACATTTGCTTTAATGCTTTTCTTACTTTATCAAATTTTACTAATATTCTTTAACGGAAAAACACACAGTCAAGTAGGCTACAGTGAAGATCTTATGAGAGAGTTGAGAAACCACTAAGACACTTCCGGGTTTTATCTTCAGTGATGCCTCTTATCTTTATTCTGGGACTCCAGGTAATATACAGCCCCTACGGCTGCCACAAATGCAGCAAATCCCTACCTGAATCCCTAAAAGGATTAAAAATAATGCGCCAACAAAGGAAACATTGTTTGCAAAGCCACCATGTATCTCAAAGCTTCATTGTGGCCCATGGATCCCTTAGCCTTTGTGCAGCCAGCTTCTCGTGGACAGTTTCTAACGGTGTCCTTTCTATCTCCCATTGTTTATAATCTGGAAGTTCCATTTTACTATGTGCATATCCATGGGCCACGTCTACTGGCAATCTGACCTCTCAGGACACTCAACCCTCCAACTGGAGCCACCTGGAAACAGAGGTTTACATTTGCTTTTGATGATATTTACTGTACCTCTTCCTTATTGCTTCAACCTTCCTTCTCCTATGATTTCACACCCTTGCCCTATAAATAAATTCATATCTCAGCCTTCCTAAACAAAATCTTTGTCACTCTCTTATAAATTGCTGTATCTTTCCTTTTCTTCACCCCTAAATATCATGAAATAATAGTCTTGCTGTTTCCACTGCTTAGAGCACAATTATTCTTCAATCTCATCCAGCTACTGCCTCCACTTCCTTACTGAAATTATCCTCTGAAGTCACCCAGAACCTCCTAATTGTCAACTCCTTGGTTCTTATATTTGTTTGACAATAGCATCTGACCATCCCCCTTTCTCCCTCCACACCTTCTCTTTTGGCTTCAGAAACAACATTCTCCCCTGATTATTCTACTTGTGGGCCACTCCTCCCCAAGCTCTTCTCATCTCCCAACTGATTTTTAAATTCTACTTTTGGCCTTTCTTTCCTTGTCTCACTCTAAAACTCTACTTGTGGATTATTCCACCCAGTTCCACGAGTTAAGAATCAAAAATCTGTATACTCAGCTTCAAAACTCTCCTAAGATCCAGACTTACATTGACCACTGGCTGGCAGATATCTCATATGGTATCTCATGGGGCATCTTCAGGTATCTCGAACTGTCCATGACCAGAACGAAACTATCTTTCCCCCTCATTGTCCTCCTGGATTTATTTCTATTAACACCACCACACAGTCAACCAAACTAGAAGCCCCAGGATCTTTGATAATGCCACCTTTCTCATACCTCACCTTCAAGTGTTCACCAAACTCTACTAATTCTATCTCTATGCTGTCTCTCAAACTGATCTCTTCCACCACTGCCTCCCCTGTTCCCAGAGCTGATCATGCCACTCCCTTCCATAAAAACCCAGGGGTTCCTCTACTCCAGCCTCACTGAGCTGATCATTGACTGGGGGCAGATCTTATACTTTCCCTCCCCTCTAGCTTTGTTGATACCATTTCCTCCTAGCTATAATGCCCCCTCCAAATCCCTACCTTTCTAGTTTCCAATGCTTTTTCAAGGCTCTGTAAATCGACACCTTCTCCATTTCAGATTAACCTCAGTCAGCTCTTTCCCTCTGCAGAACTCCCCTAACACTGTGTACTTTCTCAGTTCCATAGCTAACCTGTATCAAAGTTAGCTATGTACATTCTCATTTCTTCCAGTAAAAACCTATGACCTCAATTCCTTGCCACCAAAATCCTCTGCAGATTTCGTAATAGAACCATTACCTTTTCAGTTCAGTTCAAGGACTATTTACTCATTCTTGGCTAGGCCAAGCGAGAAAACAAAAATGAGTCTTTGACCTCACCGAACTAATTCATTCTTTACTAGTGGAAATGAGATATGTACCAAATACAGAAAGTATATATTCCAATAATAAGTCCCATCAGAGAGGACTAGATAAGCAAAATGGGAGTCTGAGGAAGAGATTACTCCCCGATTTGTTTGGAAGTCTTTGTTTGTGTGTTTTTGACAGGACCAATTAGGATATTTACAGGAAGGAAGGAAGGAAGGATGGGGTCATGAATGACGGCTACATTATAACACATTACTACCCTTGTGCATAACTCAACTAAAGCTTCATTTCCTTCCCTTTCTCTTCTCTTTCTCTTCCACACGTAGTGCAAATCAGCACATAAAAGTATAGATTCTCTATATGAAAAACAATTATATGCTAATGGCCAGAGAAAACATTCTCAAAAGGAATTATCCACAGAGTCATAGAATATTTGAGTTAAAAAGAACAGCATTAATCTAGTTTAACAACCCACATGTGCATCTGACTGTTGGTAATAAAGATTCTGCTTAGAAACTCATAGAGGATCTGACCATCTTATAAGAAAATAATCCAACTGAAGGTAGTAATTCTTATTGACAAAATAATTCCCCATCTTGAACAAGAACCACTACTTGTTAGTTCCAGTGCATTCCCTGATATGAAGCATAGTTTAATTTCTATGCCACAGAATAAACCTCTAGATTGTGTGAGGAGTTATATCTGTCATCCCTCCTGCTCCCTTACCTACCCTCACAAGTCTTCATGTATTTTCTTATTGGAAGTCCTCATATGACATAGTTTCCTTATTCCCTGCTGATCTCAAAAGCTCCAATTAGATAATATCATTTTTTGACCATCACATCAAAAACTGACACAAAGGATAGTTCTTTGTCATTAGTAGATGAAAATTTTTTTCTTCAGTGACCTCAAAGTGACCCTTTGATATATAGAAATTAGTGTCTGTATGAGCCTGGATTTGAATTACATAACTCACAAGGCTGTACTTAGCTAGTAAGTCCAGATAATCACCCAACACAGCTTTGTGATATGATATTCCTCACTGCTTACCCAGCATTCTTATAAAGTAATCAGAATTTTCTTTGTGTAAATGGACAATAAGTGGGAGTTAAAACTTTAGCAGAAGTTAAAAATGCAGCTAAGTGTTTGACAGTATATACCAGATCTTCACGATTCCCAACAGGCTTTGTTTCAGGAGAAAGCCATGATCTAGGATTCTCAAATCCATAGAGCTCACTGTGCTCTAATGAATCCATTCAGTACACAGTTAGAAGCCGGGCATTTTCTTCTCCTAATTTTAACTGTTCCGATAGAATATTGGCATGCCCATCTACTAGATCTGCAGCCAGTCACCTTTCAGAAGTGAGGAGAAAAAGAAGACTACCCTACCCCACTTACATCACCACCTGACCCCCACCCCAAACAAGCCCTCTACATCCAGTTTTCTAGTTCCAAGTACAAAAACTTCAGGAACTTGGAAATCTGCTTAAGCTGCCTTAAACAGATACTAGATTGCAATTTCCCAGTTAATACCAACATCTTCAAGGAAGTAAGCTCTGACTTAGAAGTCAAATAGAAAATATTTACAGAGAGGATAAGTGTGAGTATAAAATACAATAGTCATGGGTTGATAGCCAGGCAGAAACCAGCCTGGAAACAGAATATCTTGGGGAAGTGGGAAAAGAGTGCAAAGAGAGACATGGGGGAGAAGACAAATTTCCTCAGTGATGGAAGCAGAAGCAGTTCAGTCATCGAAGCACAACTCTAGGATGCTCATGTCAGCACTCAATGTTCAATGTTTATGAAAATCAAAACGTTGACCTGACCCCAACCCTCCTTAACATTTGACCATGAAATTCCCACACCTAAATGCAGTTGTTCAAAATGTTTTTCTTTTTAATACTTATTTGGTTGGTCTCCATACTCTCAGGTCATGTGCTCACGCTAACACAAATTCATTTATCATTTCTCCATTTTCACAGTTTAACTGTGAATTTTTCCACTGCTGTTGTAAGAATTCATGTCATTTTAAACTACAGAAGCCCCAAACAACTCACTTTCATAAAATGACAACTCAATTCTGTAGCACTACCTCGAAGACACGCTGCCAACTCACCTCATCATTTTTTGCTGCAAAGACCTTTAGAACTTGATTTCCCATAAAGAATTTTCTCTGGACCTACAAAAGCAAGAGAGGAAAAAAAAATTGGTTTTGAGCCAAAATAAGTAACATATATAACCATAATGCCACACATTACTAAGAAATTCTATTCAAAATGTTCTTACTGAAAAACAGCCACAGATACTAGAAACGAATTATTACTTGAGGTTCAATTCAATTCAATATAACAAATATCTGAGCACATAGTATATATATGTCCAACATTGTCTGGGTACTATAAACACAACAGAAAACAGGGTATAATATTGTCCTTGAGGTGCTTAGATAAATATGAAATCAACTGCAGTGCTGTTATCACAGCCCAGAGTTACATAGTACTACAACACATAAGAAGGGCACCGAGCTCAGTCATGAGGGGTCAGGGGATAGGTCTTTTCTGCCTATCTGTAGGTAAGTAGACCCACTTTTCAATAGGTCAGTTTCTACAAACTGGTCTGAATGAGGGTTCTGCTTTACTGAGAAGACTTATAAGCACTGCCATTAATAATCATGGTTTTAAGTTTATAATCCTCCCAAAGTGAATGATTTTATTTTTAAGAAAAGCATACTCAGTGTAACTTGTTAGAGAATTGTTAGGGACTCCCAACTTCCAAAAAGTAGTTATTCTCATCATTAAAAATCTTACAGACTTTAAGTAAATACTTCCAATTTTATGCTTATGAGTCTTGAAGATTTATATAACAGTTTGGGCATATCATGAAAAACATTCTCCCCAGCCTCACTGAATTACTCTAACACTGAAGTATGCAGGGAATATATGCTAGAGCAACACAAAGAAGTTCAAATCCAGAATACTGGGTAATATTTATTTTCATTATAATGAAATTCTCACTTGAGTTCTTCTAGAACCAACAAAAAACTCTTCAATCTTACAGAGCTTGGATAAAATACACATAAAAAATACACTTAATAATTATTAATTATGTTTCATCTCTTTGGCTGTCTATTTCAAGAACATTTCATCTAAGATTTCTGAGAATCTTTTAACAACCTTTTCTAGGATAGTATATGGTATCTGAAGGTGAATGACTATATGTCTCATTGTGTCTATTTTGTGTATCTTTGCATTGGTGTCTAAAAGACATAAAACCTATGGACAAATTTCACATCTTAGAACTCTACATTGGACATTGAGAAGAAAGGTCAAGACTGACATAAATCAATGATACTCTAAGATTTAACGGTCACTCAAAACCCAGACAGATCTTTAATCCTAAAACACTCCATTTTACATAACAGCTCAGAGAATGCAATACAATAGCAAAGAACTGGATGCTGTTTCTTTAAGGCTACTATGAGCTAGAATGGCCAGCAAAACTAAGAAGTGACTTAATTGAATTTGTTCTTCAGATTTATGCTAAGACTTCTCTATATCTTGGTTTTTCTCCTCAAAAATCAAGGATGGAAACACTAACCTCCAGACTACTTACAGAAAAACTAAAAGTGCAGTAAATATATATTGTAAATAAAATGACTAATCAAAAGCACACCATTTCAAGTAACAGCTAGGAAAAAGCTCATTTATTTTGTTCACAGTTGTACCTGAAAAGATCTACAAAATCCCAAAACAGAGAAGCACTTCCCCTCCGATTTATATTTCATTTGTTCCTCATCCACTTTAGAGAAAGGAACTATATCACTTCCATAGCGGAACCCTAGAGAACAAGAGAAGAGCATCTGTTAAGCATATGGGGCCTCATTTTCTACGAGCGGAAATGAGCTCTATGCATACATTAACAATATATGCATACTCCAGAGGAAGCCTCTGTCTCTACTCCCTGGAATCGAATTACTGGCCCTTGTGAATCAATGAGGAAAAAGCAGCAGCAGACACACAAACCACATATACAATACAGAGACGATTAAAATCAAATTACATTTTTAAAGTAGCATCTTCTGTAATCTAGTTACCTTAATGATTATCCAGCCTAGAAGAAAAAATGTAGCAAATGCAATGTACTAGTTATCCTCCAAAGAGAAACCATGGTTGACTAAAGTACAGCATGATTTGTAAACATAATAACAAGAACACATTTATTCGGAAACCTGGAGACCCATACGGAAAAACGCCCATAGGAAATTTTCAGAACAAAGTGTTCTCCAAAATACATGCTGGAGATATACAAATGCCTAACAGAAGAAGCTAAAACTCTCCTGTTTAGAAACATTCAATTGATAAGTTGCGTATTTTTCTGCATTTAAATTTATTTTATTTCTGGGATTTGATTGTATATTATTTTCTTTTTTAGTTACTTAGGATATTTATATAAATATGGGCTCTTGGCTTCTTAAAAAGAAAAAAACCCACAAAATTCCAACCCTGTTCCATGTCCTCTACTCTATGGCAGATCATGTCCTTCTAATACAGAATATCTTATATATTTAGTGGGAAAAAGGAGTGTCAAAATCCAAGGATTCCAGACTTTGGTAAAGCAAAGGAAAACACATGCATCTTTACTCCAAGAAACAAAATACTTGTATGTTTGGGGGCAGATTTTGTGATTCAGTTTTTATTTGTTCCAGTTAGTCTGTTGATACCATGTATTTAATTTTTTAAAAAACCATATTTGTGCTCCGTGTATGTCTTTTTCAAAAAGCTGGTGATGAAAACAGAAATTCCAACAAAAAATTAACAGGAAATGTATGGCACATGATTAAGAGTGGTATCTAAACTAAAGCTTTTCCTAATTTTTTTCTGTCAGCAGTCATTTTCTTACTTGAATTTTTAATAGTAACTTGGAAGTTCTAATTAAAACTGTTTTCTGAAAATGCCAACATTATTTTTCACAGATCTAGAAAAAATAATTCTACGCTTTGTATGGAACCAGAGAAGACCCTGTATAGCAAAAGCAATCTTAAGCAAAAACAAATTGGGAGGCATCAATTTATCAGACTTCAAGCTATACTACAAGGCTATAGTAATTAAAACAGCATGGTACTGGCACAGGAACAGAGACATAGACCAATGGAACAGAACTGAGAACCTAGATATAAAACCATCCTCATAGAGCCATCTAACCTTTGACAAAGCAGACAAAAACACACTGGGGAAAAGAATCCTTATTCAACAAATGGTGCTGGGAAAATTGGATAGGCACAAGTAGAAGACGGAAACAGGATCTACACCTCTCACAAAAATCAACTCATGGTGGCTAAGAGACTTAAACCTATGGCATGAAACTATAAGAATTTTAGAAGAAAATGTTGAGAAAACTCTAACAGACATTGGCCTAGGGAAAGAATTTATGAAGAAGACCCCAAAGGCAATCA